ATCCTCAGATTTCCGTTCCATAAAACGCCACGCTCTCTACTAGTGCCTCAAATATCTTCAGTTTTCGACTGAAATTGTCTCTAAATAAATTTTATCCTATATTCCAGAGCTTTACGAGATTCCTTTAGCTTTTTCTTCGCTCGCCCTATCCCTTAATTTCATTTGTATTCTTCTTTCCTTTTTTATCAAATTATCATCAATAAATATTCCTTTTTTCAACTTGTTCTTCTTTCACATTATTTCCCACTTTTCTTCCCAACTATGTATCTATTTCCGCCATTATCATTTCCTCGTCTCTGGTTTTTATTTTCCTAACTTTCTTTCCACCTTCTATTCATTTCCACCTTTACCTCTTCTTTTATAAAGTGCTTCACCACCTGCTTCGTATTTCTTCCCTCCATTTCATCCCCCGTATTAACACGTTGCATCCCCTCTTCTCCTTTTCCTTTCTTTATTCCTTTAATTTTAACTCTCTCGCCCGTCGACGTAGTTTCGACTTCCCATTGTTCCCTTTCTTTTACCCTCTGTTCTTTCCAACCATCTCTCCCTCTCTCTTTCCTCCATCCATTCCTTCATTTTCTTCCTCCGTATTCTTATTTCTTCTTTCATTTACCTTCTTCACCTATCGAATTCTTCCATATACTTGACTAGCGTTTTCTCTACAGCTTTTTCCATTTCTCTTACAGTTTCTTTCCTTGCCACTGTTCCTTCCTTCTCTTCAGTGTCAGATGTCGCCGCTTTCTTGTGGTCTGTAGCAATTATAAGGATAATTTAAATACTACAAATAAATCAGAACTTCGTGACTTGAGTAACTTTTAATAAAAATTATAATAAATTATAAAGTAAAAAAAATGGACACTTGTTTTCTATAAATGATAATCAAGGAATGAATAATTAATTCTAACATGGAGTCTATATATACATCTCTATAAAAAAGTACCTCTATAAAAAAGTAACCTTCATGGTAATAATAAAAAACAGACTATCGGTTTACAATATTTAAATGTTTAATGTCAATTTACCGGAAACGTACTTTTTGACCGGACGATTGTGTAGCTAACGTTGATATTAATTTTGGAGATGTAACGGTCGCTACATTACCCTCCCTCCAAGTCACTCGATCCATCAGAGCGAGTAGACGATACAGGTGTCTTACTATATGTTCGATGTTGTTTCTCTTCATGCAATTCTATATACGCTGGTTTTAATCTTTCTGTCGATATAGTAGTTTCTTTACCTTTATAATCTGTAAGAAATAAATTATCTGGTATGTGCTTAAGTACCCGATACGGGCCATCATAAAATTGTTCCAAAGATTGTTTAACATGATCAACTCGTACGAAAACATGCGTTGTATCAAAAATATTATTAAATATAAAATATGATCGTCTGGAATGATGTCTAGTTAGTCTTGGACGTATAATTTGCATATGATTTCTAAATTTAGTAATGTTAAAATTTATATTAGTTTCAGTATTAACGAAAAATTCTCCAGGTAATCTGAGAGGTGTAATATAACATTTCAACCGCGGTTGCTTGTAAATTTTCTTTGTAACTATTTCTCAAACCAAGCATAACTGTTGGGAGTACTTCTAACCAATTTTTATTTTCATGGCAACGAATTGCCGCTTTCAAGGATCTGTTCTATCATTCCATTGGATGCTGGATGATACGCTGTAGTGCGGATATGTCTGTATCCAATGAGTTTTGTTAATGCATTAAATAGTTGAGATTCAAATTGTGAACCACGATCTGTAGTAATAGTTGCTGGAGCACCGAATCACGAAATCCAAGTGGCATAAAACCCTGTTGCAACGGTATCCGCGTTTATATCTTTTAACGGAATTACCTCAGGCTATCTGGAAAATCGATCGATCATAGTCAAGCAGTATTTGTAATCGTTGATTGTCGGTAACGGTCCTACAATGTCAATATGAACTTGTTGAAAACGTTCTGGAACAACAATATGTTTCGGTGGATTTTTGATGTGTCTGCTTATCTTATTTCTTTGACAGCTTACACAACTTCTTGCCCACTGTAAAATATCTTTCTTCATCCCAGGCCATACGAATCTTTTTGTGATTAAATTTTTTGTAGATTTTCCACTAGGATGAGCTAAGTTATGTATGCTATCAAAGATTTTCCTACGCAACACTACTGGAATATAAGGCCTAATTATTTCGGTTGAAATATCACAGTAAATTGAATTATTTGAATTATCTACTTTTAACTTTTTTAGTTGTAAGACTGTACTTTTTAAAACCTCTGATAATTCTGGATCTTTTAATTGCTGTTCAGCAAGTTCAGAAGTGCTGACCACGACTGGCATACTAATTCGATCCCGAAATATAGATGATTTTGGTTGAAAATTGTCCGATGTAGTCTAATTGTCGTAATTGTCTAGGCTTTTTCTGATTTTTGAAGAAACGCAGATGTTAATGGTTTATGATCAGTCTGTATCGTAAAGTCTCGTCCTTCTACAAAATGTTTAAAATTTTTTATTGCTTTATAAATTGCTGTAAGTTCTCGATCATAAGTACTGTATTTAACCTTTTGCACTCGAGCGACGCCGCTATGGCGCCCGGGAGGTTTGATGCGTCCAGTCGAAATGCGCTGTACCGGCACTACGGCGTTTTGGAACTGGATCTATTTATTTACGATGTGCGATAAGATATTTTTATCTGAAGTACTTTCGTGGACTAGGCTCGGCTTGCATTCTTAGCCAAATCTTAGCCTAGTTTAGTTAGTCTCAGCATAGCATTCGGTTGAAACAGTCGCGGTGAGTATAGCAGTTGAAAAGTTTTCGAGCCCTAAACAGATCAGCTCAAGTTCAGACGAATTCGATTTTACGACTTTGAACGAGGAAATTACATTGATTTCCGACGGGTTACGCCACGAAACGAACGAGTCCAGTGGAGAAGATAGTGAGGAAGTAAGAGGTGTGAGACGACGAAAAATTTATACGAGCTTTATCTTGGCTGAAGAATTATTGAAATTGAAATGCCACCTGACAGGAACTACCTTAACAAATAGGAAGCATATACCAGTGAAAATAAATAAAAAAAAAAATTTCGCAAGAAATCGACCGTAGCATATCGCAAAAGAAATACATTAGTTTTAGCATGGAAGGACAAGAGGGTTGTCACATACTTGACCAACTGGAATAATGCAGGAATGAGTCCTGTAAAACGAATTTTATGAGGTGGAATTGAAGTTACCGTCAGACTAATGTAGTAATAAATTATATAAAATATATGAGCGGTGTCGATCGTGCATATCAGTGCCCCAACTGTTTTTTAAGAAAATCGCTGAAATGGTTGCGTAAACTGTTTTTTTGGGGTTTAAAAATTTGTTCAATAAATTCATATATTCTATATAAAACCACTAAACAGCAAAGAAGAGAACAGCCGCTTAGTCAATTGCGGTATGTGAAAACTTTAGTTCACCAACTGACTGGTGATTTTCGCCAGCCACGTGATCGAGCCTCAAATTCAAACCTCCGATTCCGAAGACATCCCCTTGAATGGAAAGCTCTATAATATTTTAACAGGAGTTAGGAAGGATTGCAAAGTCTGTTCTAAAAGAAATAAACCCGGCAAAAGACATCAAACAACATTATTGTAATACTTGCCCCGACAAGCCGGGCATGCATCTTGGCAATTGTTATATGAAATATCATCACACAGCATAATTACAGAGACTAATATTTAAGAAATTATCTTCGTAAAAGTGTAAAGATATATAAAATGTTAAAACATAAAAGTTTTATACATTAATTTGTGTGTGTAATAATTTTAAGTTAGGGATAAGAAATTCGCCAGAAATGCTGCGAAACGTCTCGAGTTGCTTGTTCGCCGCGCGAAAAAAGGCCTCGAGTGCAAAGGGTTAATTTCTTGTGGTGAAAATTTTTTGGAAAAGAAAGTTATTGGTTCCCATGAATCATTTACTTTTTATTGAAGTACAGCCCCACAAGCTAAATTTGAAGCGTCAGTAACGAGAAGTAATAGACTATTAATTTTTGGATAAACCAGTAGTGCTGCATCCGCCAATGAGTCTTTACATTTTTTAAATGCAGTATCAGTTTCCTCTGTCCAAACAATTACTCTTTTGTCATTTTTCTTAGCACTTTTAAGAAAAGCATTCAAAGGAGCCTGAATATCAGCAGCATTTTTAATGAATTTTCGATAAAAATTGATCATTCCTAGGAAACGTCTTAAGTCAGCAATTGTTTTTGGTTTATTATAATTTAAAATAGCATTAACTTTTTCTGGTACAGGCTCCCTTCTGATTAATCTGATACCCCAAATACTGTACAGTCGATGCACCAAAAACGCATTTTGCTAAATTAATAGAAATGCCGTATTGTTTTAATCTTTCAAAAATTTGACGTAAATGATCATAATGTTCAAACTCATTGGTGGAGGCGATAAGAAGATCATCAATATAACAGAAAGCAAAATCCAAACCTCTGATTACCACATCCATGAAACGTTGGAAGATCTGTGCTGCATTTTTTAGACCGTAAGGCATAACATTATATTCAAAAAGTCCAAATGGCGTAATTACCGCAGTTTTCTCTTGGTCTTCTGGTGCCATCGGAATTTGATGATAAGCTTTTTTCAAATCCAAAGTTGTAAAAATTGTTTTTCCGTCTAACGCGTGAGTAAAGTCATGAATGAGGTATAGGATATTTGTCTGGTACTGTTTGTGAATTTAATTTACGATAATCACCACACATCTTCCAAGTACCATTTTTCTTAGGAACCATGTGCAGTGGACTAGCCCATTCACTAGAAGAGGGTTTACAAATTCCTTGTTGTATTAATAATTGGAATTCACGAGCTGCTTTAAATTTATTTGATGCTATCCTGCGTGGTCTTTCTGCACATGGTCTTCCTGAAGTAATGATGTGATGATGTATCTTATGTTTAGGTGTTTGGTCTCGTTATGTCAATGTATTGTTTGTGTTGGTCTCGTTATGTCAATGTATTGTTTTAATAGCTTTATATATTTTTGTGTTACTTTATACATTATTGTGTTCTTTGTTTAATGTTGTAATTGTTGGATGTTTAACTGTGCTTAGCTGTGCTATTTGTTGAATTTTCGTGTAGTCGTCTATTATTCGTCTATTTTTAAGATCAACCAGAAAACCGTGATATTTTAAAAAATCTGCACCAATAATTGGTTGTTGAATTTTGGCAACGATGAACTTCCAGATATATGGACGCCGCAATCCGAGATCCAGAATCAGCGTTCTGACACCGTAGGTCGATATCAGCGTACCATCAGCAGCATATACCTTAAAATCAGAAGGGGTGATATTTCCTTTTGCCGTACTGAGCGGCAGTACGGAAATATCAGCCCCGGTATCAATTAAGAATGATAAATTATTCCTTTTGTCCTGAATTATTAGACGACTTTGCACGCCTCCTAGTGTCGTCGAAACTGTGCCTTTAGTTTTCCGCTTGTTGAAAAGCTACACCGGTGTTTCCATTATTTGTTGTCGTTGATGGCCATGAACATGGTGCTTTGCATTTAAATACTCTTGCGCCGAAATTTTAGTGATGGTAACACAGTCCTCCACTTCTTTCAATTGAAGGTGCGCGATTTCTTGATAATAAGATCTTCGACCCCGGGATTTGGATCGAAAACGTCTTTGAAAAGGTCTTCTTTTGGACATATTGGATTCCATATTTGCTATTCTTCGAGTTATTTCTGCTAGTTGTTGAATTGATGAATCGTTCCAGTTTTCCAAGGAGACCTACTCATACTTGCGATAAAATTTGACCGAAATTCCATTACTCGGTCCGTAAGTAATGCTAGCGTTGTTAAATCAGCATCTGAATTAACTGTCAGAACGTCGTATAATGAAGCTGGAACTTGTTCTAAAAAAAAAACGGTTTTTAAGACTGAATCAGAGACATTTCTATCTACCATACTTCTCATACGTTATAAAAAATGAGATGGTTTTTCGTCGCCCATCCTACAAGTTCTGAGAAGTTGCCGTACTTTAGTCTCTTCTGATTTGCCAAAAAGTTCCAAAAGTTTATTTTTTAAAGTATCATACTTATTTATTTCTGGTGGCATTTCAATTAAATTTTGAATTAATAAGGCCACGTCCGAAGGTTGGCGTGATATAATATGATCGAATTTAGATGTATCGCCTGTCAATTTATTTGTTCGCATACCTTCTTCCACTTGAAGAAACCAAAATTTTAAATTTTCTCTATTAAATGGTGGTAGATATTGAGGGGTCATTGCAACTATTGTCGGAGCTTCTACGACCGGTGGAATGTAGGCTTTTTCCGCAATTGGTATACGAGTTTGAAGTGGTGGTTTGGCCATTTTCCTCTCTCTTTTTTTTATAACGCAAATGTAACGAAATTCACCAATTTTGTAGTAATTATAAGGGTAATTTCAATACTACAAATAAATCAGAACTTCGTGACTTGAGTAACTTTTAATAAAAATTATAATAAATTATGAAGTAAAAAAATGGATACTTGTTTTCTATAAATGATAATCAAGGAATGAATAATTAATTCTAACATGGAGTCTATACATACATCTCTATAAAAAAGTATACATGATGATAACCTTCATGGTAATAATAAAAAACAGACTATCGGTTTACAGTATTTAAATGTTTAATGTCAATTTACCAGAAACGTACTTTTTGACCGGACGATTGTGTAGCTGACGTTGATATTAATTTTGGAGGTGTAACGGTCGCTACGTACTTCTCTATCTGGTCAACTCCCTCCCCCCCCCCCCTTCCGAACTCCAACGTCTTTAGCTTGTTTGTCGCTCTGGTTCCTCCAACTTCTGAATCTCTTTTTTCTATTTTCTTGTGGAATTCCTTCCCTTTCTCGTATTTCTATGATCTCGCTTCATTCTCTTTCTCTCCCTCTACCTTCGTCTCAGATTACCCCTAATCATTTCTATATTGCTTTATCTCCTTTTCTTTAACTTTATTGCTCCGCACTTTCACGCACATCTTGCCCTCTACCAATCTAAACCGGAAGTCCAGAATTACATTATAATATAGAATTATATTAAAATTATATGACATATTTTACTATGTCAGACTCTGAAGAAATCTTCGATTTGTCTTCCGATTCGGATTTCTGTCTAAGTGACGACAAAAGTAGTTCAATCACCAGCGAGGATTTTGAATCTGATTATTGTGAAGACTTGAGTGAACTCGATTTAGGTTGGTGAAGGAGTGAGCACGTGTGAAAGAAAATGTAACAGTAGAATTGCGATAGTTGGAGGTTTTTGTAGTTGTAGTGATTGAAGAAAGTGATAAATAGACCCGAAAAGATTCAATAGCTTATGTGAAAAATAGGACGTAGGATAGGAATTAAGTATAATAACATTTAGAGATATAAGATAAACGGTAAGGAATTGAGGTTATGGTCCTTATAGATTAGGGGTATCCGAAATTATGGGTACCCGACTGTTCGGGTCGGACTTACACAAAGTCGGGCTCGGGCGAGTAGCCCGATGATTTCGAATCGAGTTGGAAAAAGTTCAAGGGAGATAGGATCAGAGATGGGCATTATTCGAATAACATTTCGAATAAATTATTCGATATTTACGAATAACGATTTCATTCGAATATAAAATTGAGCATTATTTGAATAACATTTCGAATAAATTCTTCGAATAAAATTTTATTCGTATAAAATTTCGAATAAATTCTTCGAATAACATTTTATTCNTATTATTACATTTGAAGAAAAAAATATATGTATATTAAATATTATGAATAATTGATTTCGATAACGCAATATAATGCATATTATATTTGAACTTTTTCCAACTCGATCCGAAATAGACGCACTACCCGAAATCTTCGTGAAAGCCGAAATATCATATTTGAATTTTTTCCAACTCGATCTGAAATAGACGCACTACCCGCCCGACTTCGTGAAAGCCCGACCCAAACAGTCGAAATTTCGGGTACCCGCACATCCCTATCGTGGAAATACATATATACACACTCGTTCTTTAGTAATCTATATAATTAAAATATATTTGTGAATTTAGTATTATTTTTCTCCGCTTCTTATTTTTTCTAACACTAAAGAAATTTCTAATCATTTACGGAACGCATTGAAGATAATTTTGCTATTCTATTAATGAGCCATAAACGAATGAAAAGGTACAATGTTGTACTTGCAATTCAATATATTTTCTTACAGATACGTTTTTAATCGATTCTAAAGAACGATATATATGATGCTGCTAGATCCAAGGTTTAAAGACCTTCTGTTACTAATAGGAAAGGAAAGATGGGAGGCCAAACAAAATTTAAAGCAAAGATTGCAACTATCCAAAATGAAATAGATATAAGTGGAAATAGTAACATCCAAGTCACGTGGACCATCCATGAGAACGACGGTATTACTTCAAATAAATCAATAAACATTATTTAAAATGAATTAATGTGTAAAATTAGCAAACACTTTTTTTATTTAAAAATCTAAATTGACTTCCGTTTCAGCGACGTGAGAGTAGAGACGCGTAAAAAATAAGCTAGAGACAACGAACGATTAGAAGAGGTTTATAGAAAAAGAAAAAGTGAAAGGAACAGAGGGCAAAAAGGCAGAAGATGAAAAGAGTATTGAGGGGAGATGATTAAATCGCACAAAATTGTTGAGGTTCGGACTAGAGTCTTTATTACTGCACTATTTACACTTTTTCTTGGCTTGTTCGGCGCGAGCGCATATTTTAGATCTTATAATTTCACCGGGCAATGCTAACGGACCTCGGTCTCTGTCCCCAACAGTTCCAATTGGCTAAGTGTCTTTTTGACTTTGGCCAATTTTAACTGTAGAGAAATTGCACCGACTACTCTTTACTTTCGCAACGCGCTTTCTCTAGAATGCGGCTAGAACGGATATTCTGCTTCTCCTCGCTCGCTGACGCTTCGAGGAAACCTCGGTCTCTGTCCCCAACAGGCCCAATTGGCTAAGTGTCTTTTTGACTTTGGCCAATTTTGACTGTAGAGAAATTGCACCGACTATTTTTTACTTTCGCAACGCGCTTTCTCTAGAATGCGGCTAGAACGGATATTCTGTTTCTCCTCGCTCGCTGACGCTTCGAGGAAACCTCGGTCTCTGTCCCCAACAGGCCCAATTGGCTAAGTGTCTTTTTGACTGTAGAGAAATTGCACCGACTACTTTTTACTTTCGCAACGCGCTTTCTCTAGAATGCGGCTAGAACGGATATTCTGCTTCTCCTCGCTCGCTGACGCTTCGAGGAAACCTCGGTCTCTGTCCCCAACAGTCCCAATTGGCTAAGTGTCTTTTTGACTTTGGCCAATTTTGACTGTAGAGAAATTGCACCGACTACTCTTTACTTTCGCAACGCGCTTTCTCTAGAATGCGGCTAGAACGGATATTCTGCTTCTCCTCGCTCGCTGACGCTTCGAGGAAACCTCGGTCTCTGTCCCCAACAGTCCCAATTGGCTAAGTGTCTTTTTGACTTTGGCCAATTTTGACTGTAGAGAAATTGCACCGACTACTCTTTACTTTCGCAACGCGCTTTCTCTAGAATGCGGCTAGAACGGATATTCTGCTTCTCCTCGCTCGCTGACGCTTCGAGAAAACCTCGGTCTCTGTCCCCAACAGTCCCAAGTGTCTTTATGACTTTGGCCAATTTTGACTGTAGAGAAATTGCATCGACTTACTACTTTTTACGTTCGTAACGCGCTTTCTCTAGAATGCGGCTGCAATTTCTTCGAGGACAGTTCCTTAATTTCTGTTCCATAGCGGGGTTTATTCCGGGCCTTGATTTATTACTTTTTGTGTTTCTCAAGCCTTTCGGCCTGTGTGCGGGCCTTTGGGTTTTCGACGCTCGCAGATGCTATTTTGGCCTTATTACTTTTACGTGGTCTGGACAATGTTGACCGTAAGACAAAACTTGGCCACATTTCAATGAAGTACTCGGCACGTGAGTCGTAAAATCTCCTAGCTTTCTTATCGTAAGCAAACAACTTTCTGCAACATCTGCTAGCCGCTACAGTATCAAAAAACGAAGAAGGAAGCGCGGAAGAAACTGTAAAGTGAGAAAAAGTGGCGGAATAAGAGGTTTGGTTCATTAGAATGGCTACTAAGATGGTGGGCATAGAAACGAGAAACAGAACAAAGGAGAACGAAGAAAAAGGAACGATGGAAAAATTCGTAAAAGGAGGGGAACGTGTGACGGGACGGGGAGAGCATGGAGACATCTATTGGCGAAAGCAAAGGAAAAGCGGCAAGGCTAGAACATGGGACGGAAATAGAAAGGCTCCTGGAAAAAATGTTAATGAAATATATGGAAGAGTTGGGAAAGCTAAGAGAAGAAGTAAAGGAGGAGAGAAGGATTTGGAAAGAAGAAAGGGCAGAATGGGAAAAGAAGACGCAAGAACTGAAAAAAAAGAATACGATCTTTAGAATTAAGAGAGGAGAAAAGAGAGAGAGAGAGAGAGAAAAAAATATAGTGATCAAGGGAGTAGAATGGAAAGAAAAGGAAACAGCAAACGAAGTTAAAGAATTCATTAAAGAGAAAATGAAGATAGAGGTGGAAGTAACAGAAGCAAAAAAGATAAAAAACTGGACAGGAAAAGAAATCGTAAATATAGCAAAATTGGCGAACTGGAGAAACAAAAAGAAAGTTACAGAAAAAGGTGAGAGCAATTGCAAAGCAAAAAGAGAAAAGAAGGAGGTGACGGTTAAGTACAAAAGCTATGCACAGACCAAAAATGATATGAGTGGAACGAAATTGGGAGCAAATTGGAGGAGAAAAACGGAGAAAGGAGAGACTGAGAAGGAAACGGCTTAGGATATGGAGAGAGAATAAAAATCTAATTCTGGAATGTAGCAGATACAGAAAAGAAATGCAATGAAGTATGGGGATATTTGGGAGAATCATGATATAATAGGTTTAATAGAGACATGAACGGAAGAAGGCACATGGAAGAGAATAAAAGGCAAACTAGTAATGCCACTCCCCTGTAGTTTCGCACATCCTTCTCGTCTTCCGCCTTGTGTATTAGGATTATCCTTGTCAGTGTCCAGTTTTCGGATATTCTATCTTCATTCCAGATACCTTGTATTGTTTCATGGAACACCCTCTACTTTCTTCGGGTAACCCTTGAATAAATTCAAAATCTTTATACCGTCTTCTCCTGCCGCTTTATTTCTCTTAATGCCTCTTACTATACTTTTCAGCTCCCCCCAACCTATGTCTTTGCTTAATTCTTTTATATTTTCGTCATCTTCGTGTCGCCCCTCTCTGCCCATTTCCTTCTCCTGCCCAACTTGCGGTTGTGCTTTCTCCTCCTGCTCAATTTCGCC